TTTCACTATTGTATTTTTTTCTAATTGTATCCATTGACAGTTGTATAATACAGTATGTCATTTATGTGTATTTGTATACATATATTTGGTAATATTTAATGTGGTACTGGGGGGAGGTGTTGTGGTACTGGGGGAGGTATTGTGGTACTGGGAACCGGGTATTATGGTACTGGGAACCCATATCCCAGTTCTCATATCCCATATCCCAGTTCTCATATTCCAGGGCTCTTCCGGTACTAATCCTGAAGCGAATCTCTCAGCAGTTCCTGCTTTTGTAAGTGCTTAACAAGGCATAAAGAGCACTGGCCGCTTGTAAGTGGTGTCCTAAAGTGTAACGACGCGCTTAAAGTAGTGTCCACAAGTTGTCTTAAGATGTTCGTAAGGTCGTGCTTATGATGTTTGGAGCTGTGGGTGTGGGGTGTCCACATCTTCCTCGACTCCACTACTCTTGCCTGGCCCCTTCAAGACTACTCTGAACCTCTTCAGATGCTTCCAGTCTTGCTTTTCTTAGGATCAAATGCCGCCTTGCGTTTATTTAACCAGTTTTGTTGTTTGTGTGCGTGCTTGCTTGTGTACTTTATCTGTGTGTGTGTGTGTGTGTGTGTGTGTGTGTGTGTGTGTGTGTGTGTGTGTGTGTGTGTGTGTGTGTGCTGGCCTAATTGTTCTCACCTAGTTGTACTTGCAGGGGTTGAGCTCTGCTCTTTGGTCCCGCCTCTCAATTGTCAATCAACAGGTGTACAGGTTCCTGAGCCTACTGGGCTCTATCATATCTACACTTGAAACTGTGTATGGAGTCAGCCTCCACCACTGCCTAAGGGTGTGTGTGTGTGTGTGGTGCCTAAATGTCATCAGTGCTAGCCTATATGTACTTATCTATGTGTTCCTATTTACATGTGTCTATTGCTAGCAAGATCTAACTTGTGCCATTTTCCGTATATGAGTCTCTCTCTCTCTCTCTCTCTCTCTCTCTCTCTCTCTCTCTCTCTCTCTCTCTCTCTCTCTCTCTCTCTCTCTCTCTCTCTCTCTCTCTCTCTCTCTCTCTCTCTCTCTCAATCGAAATTCATATTAGATACAAGATTATGTTTCACCCGTCCGTTTGCCAGATATAAGTTCTTGGGGCTTTGAGAAGCTTGTCAGCTGCTGGTGGTGGCTGATCGCCTTGGGTTGTAATGGCCGTCTGACTCCCCACCACGCTTCGCCAGGATATAGGAATCCAATCCACTAGAGGATTGGAACTGACCGTCCACTGGAGGATTGGAACTGATCGTCCACGATAGGATAGCTTGTCAAATGGCTGCTGGTTGTGTATGAGGATTATATCCCAACATACCCCACCCAGGCCGGGCTGGTGGAGTATTAGAACAACTCTCATAACCCGCTTAAGGTAAACTCCAGGTGTGTGTCCATGGCATGGCGGGCGCTGACTGATGAGGTTCATTTGGACAGTGAAGAAAACATTGGACCAAAACACCCAATTCCCTCTGGCGTAGTCACATTAATTTAATGACTTTCAATCACTGACACGAAAGTATTCAGTTATAGGTAGACGCATGACCATTTTCTTTCATTTGTGTCTCTTCCGTTTTCTTTTATTCCTGTTTCTCTTCCACGGTGGAATGAGTTAAACGGAGGCATTAGAGGTGGTGGTCCAATCGCTGGTTTGATAGCTAGTATAATGACATAATGTCTAGGCTAAGGAACTGGAACTGGACACAATCGACTTGAGAATGGTCCAGGACGGACCGAAACGTCGTCGTCCCTTCACCTTCTAGTGTGTGGTCTGGTCATCAAGGAACTGGAGTTTTGTTATTTCAAACACAGTTTAGAATATGCTAGGTTAGGATACCCATGCACATGCTTGCCTACTCCTCCCCCCCCCCCCTCCACACACGCTTCAAGAAAACTCACAAACTGAAGGAATGGTCCAATGGTTGTTAGAGTTTAACCCCAGCAAATGTAATGTAATGAATATAGGTGTAGGGAGCAGGAGACCAGATACAAGATATCATTTGGGGGATTAAATTCTTCTAGAAACAGAGAGAAAAAGACCTGGGGGTTGATATCACGCCAGACCTGTTCCCAGAAGCCTATATCAAGCGGATAACATCAGCGGTATATGCCAGGTTAGCCATCATAAAAACGGCTTTTAGAAACTTGTGTAAGGAATCATTCAGAACTTTGTATACCACCTATGTCAGACCAATCCTGGAGTATGCGGCACCAGCATGGAGTCCATATCTAGTCAAGCATAAAACTAAACTGGAAAAGATTCAAAGGTTTCCCACCAGACTAGTACCCGAGCTGAGAGGTATGAGCTACGAGGAGAGACTACGGGAGTTAAACCTCGCGTCGTTGGAAGACAGAAGAGTTAGGGGGGACATGATCACCACATTCAAGATTCTCAAAGGAATTGATAGAGTAGATAAGGACAAAGTATTTAACACAAGGGGCACACGCACTAGGTGGAAATTGAGTGCCCAAATGAGCCACAGAGATATTAGAAAGAACTTTTTTAGTGTCAGAGTGGTTGACAAATGGAATGCATTAGGAAGTGATGTGGTGGAGGCTGACTCCATACACAGTTTCAAGTGTAGATATGATAGAGCCCAGTAGGCTCAGAAACCTGTACACCAGTTGATTGACAGTTGAGAGGCGGGACTAAAGAGCCAGAGCTCAACCCCGCAAGCACAACTAGGTGAGTACACACACACACACGTAAGGCTAACACGCGGCTCTTGTGATGACGTCACTGATCCTCAAGGGCTTAATATCCCCCTCTCAATTTTTACTTTTCCTATTTTTCCCCTGCACGTGTCTGTCTCGCCTCAGATCACGGCACTAGACGGATCCCAAGATGAGACTCCTCTTGTACGGCCAGGCTTCCGCCTCTTTCAAACGTCTTACACGTTAGTAACTTGGCGCGCGAATATGTGCAACCAGGCCCAAGGGTGTCTGACGGGACGTATGAGTTTGGCCTGAAAAATATCGCGTTTTCTTTGAATCATTTGGCGGGAGAAATGCATTTTACTATTTGTATTCACCTAGTTGTGCTTGCGGGGGTTGAGCTCTGGCTCTTTGGTCCCGCCTCTCAACTGTCAATCAACTGATACTAACTACTATTTTTTTTCTTTTTTCATTGAAGCTCGGTTATTACAAAAGCTTTTGCTGATTACACCTTTTTTTACCTGTTGTTGATTTCGAGAGTTGTTCTAGAATCCCTTCACCCTCACTCACAGCCTGGTCTGTGGGCAACCTTCCCTCGTGGTGACCTTGTCTGTGAGGCTGTACATGTCTGGGAACCACGCATACAAGGGGCCAGCCATCATAGCCGGGCTGATCCAGTTCCCTCTGGAAAACTTCCACACAGTTCCTCGTACTTATTTTCTGGAGACTGAAGAGTGGTGGTCGAATCCCCTTGAGATTCAACACTGTCTTCTCTAATTGTGCTTCTGGCACCTCGATTTGAGTTTATTGAATTTTGGGGGGCTTTATTGAAGGTTTTTAGGTTTATTGAAGTTTTTTGTTTGTTTATTTGCCAAAATAACAACTGGATATAAAGCTATTCATTATCAACCACTTATCTCAGTTATCAGCGCCATAACTGTGTTAATTAATCAACAGAATTCGGGAATGAATGCGATTTAATCCTTTGATGCAACGGCTCCTATCCCTTCCAAATGCAATATACTCGTACTGGCATACCGCTTTCTCCAGATAATTTGTTGATTTGTTGATCCTTGGCAAGGGATAAGAGCCTCCTGAAGCAACCTGGAATGTCTTGGGAGACGCTGGGGGGGGGGGAAGGGAAGGGAATTGTCGGGAAAGCGCCAAGCCATGGCGATTATATACTGGGAAGGGATCAGGATAAGGATTTGGGATGGGACGGGGAGGGATGGAATGGTGTCCTACCACTTGGACGGTCGGGGAATTGAACGCCGACCTGCATGAAGCGATACCGTCGCTCTACCGTCCAGCCCCAGGAAACCGGTTCTGAGGACGGTAGGTTCCGCTGTCTTACTCCAGGATCAATCGGAACTGCCCATCTCACTCACTTTGATCAGGCGGAAGTGTCGACCACAAGCAGAACCACTCACCTACCCTCTCTTCCTTGTGTCCCGGGCACTCCCGGGTCTAGGCAGTTATTATTTTCTTGACAGGAGGGTCTGCGGGTCGCTTCAAGCAACAGCCTGTTGGACCAAGCTCTCACAAGTCAAGCCTGGTCCCCGGACGGGCTTGGGGGGGGGGGAGCAGCAGAGGTCCCAGAACCTCATCCTGGTGCAATAACCTGGTTCTTAAGAATACAAAGAAGAGCGGCTGATATAAAGTTGGCAAGCATTATTGATCAACTTCCGAGAGGGTGGCTATTTAATTGCACGCATTTGCTTATACTCACTAATTGATAGATCGATTTTCCATCGTCAATCTATCAGAGTGCGGTCTATGGCCAAGCTTGGCTCATGGCTGCTTCATCAAGTAGCCTCCCAACACACACACACACCTAAATGAGCCACAGAGACGTTAGAAAGAATTTTTTCAGTGTCAGAGTAGTTAATAAATGGAATGTATTAGGAAGTGATGTGGTGGAGGCTGACTCCATACACAGTTTCAAATATAAGTATGATAGAGCCCAGTAGGCTCAGGAATCTGTACACCAGTTGATTGACGGTTGAGAGGCGGGGCCAAAGAGCCAAAGCTCAACCCCCGCAAGCACAACTAGGTGAGTACAAGCTAACTATCTATCTAACTATCTAGATAGCTAGATAGATAGTTAGTTATCGATAGCTAACTATCGGGTTTAGCGTTACCCGACGTCACAACCTCGTTACAACATACAAAATGATATCAATAAGGTTGTTATATTTTATGACCGGATTTTTTTCTATTTGTTTTGCCATTTTCATTTAAAATCCTAAATCCAGTCTCTCCTGGATACCTGCGGTGATCCGCATTGGTCGCACGTGACTCGTCTGTAATCCCTGTTTATGTTCTGTTACTCACAGGTGCAGCGGAAGAGGAGGATGGTGGCCAGGGTTCGATGTCGCAACATCAAGACGGAGTGCCCCAAGGTGACCTGTCTTGACCCCGTCCTTCTGCCTGGTGCCTGCTGCAAGACTTGTGTCACCGAGATGCTCAGATCACCAGGTGAGCTGATGTTATAGATTCTGCTACTGGGAACAAAAAGTTCCAAGTAGCACGGGCTATGGTGAGCCCCGTAGTGGACTTACCTGGCACAGGAGCGGGGCTGTAACTGTGGATGATCAGGCCAGGTGAACTGGTGTTATAGATTCAGCTACTGGGAACAAAAAGTTCCAAGTAGCACGGGCTACGGTGAGCCCCGTAGTGGACTTACCTGGCACAGGAGCGGGGCTGTAACATGTCCAAGCATCATGTTGTTGTTTTACATTTAGCTACTCAGAACGAAGAGTCCATGTAGCACGGGCTATGGTGAGCCCGTAAAGCCAAGTATCATGTTTTACACAACTTAAGTTTCCTAGTGGTGAGGTGGAGCCCTCATCGCCTCACTGTGAGGTACCTCACCTTTTCCTTAAGCAAACATTTGCACCTCCTCCCCCCCCCCTCCCATCAAGTAGAAGGGGATTGGATTCCACTATTGCGTGGCTCTTGGCTATATTACTGCCCCCTCCCTCACCCCTTTCACTCTTTGTTGTCGTCACCCCCCCCCTTCATGCCCCTCATCACCACCCCCCCTTTATAACCCCTCTATCCCCACCCCCCCTCATAACCCCCCTCAATTAAGCTACTTAGAACAACACAATTATGAAAATATCTCTATTAATGCTTCCTACTTGTACATGAGGCGCCTCCGTAATTCATTACTTCATGGGTAATTGTTTATATGCTCTCCGTACTGTGTTCCTCCATGCACAAGAACGTCAGATTTGTTTTGTTCTACAGAATCGAACACTCCGTTTTAAATTTAATGCATTAATATAAATGTTTGCGTCGTATTATTAACGTTTTCTTTGGATCGTCATCGAGAGGTTATGTAGGCTGCTTTGGGTTCCTAGATTCTTTTTTTAGGCAAAACTTTTATTTTCCAGCGTCAACACTTGCTCAATGTAATTGTGAAGAGAGAGCGCAAAGTAATATTGCTCAAGCCTAGTCTGCCTCCACGACCAAGCTTGACACTGGTTCCATCATCCCGTGGGTCGGGCATGATGCCCTTGTCTGGGCACCCTTCTGCTGTATGATATACCCCGGTATAAACAAGAAAGGGGAGAACTTCATAACAATTAGGGAGGGAGATATGCACTCAGTGACCTTGTGAAATTGTCTCTTAACACGCTAGTTGGAATGTGTGATTACAGCTTGTAGGTGGGACAGAAGCATTTGTGTTTTCTTAAGGTTAGGCGGCGTTTACGGTCTAGTGGAGGAAGATATACGAAAAAAAATATCCGCAATGTTGAACGCACAAACCGCAATGGCAATGAAGATGGCGACGTCCGTTTAGTTTTGGCGCCAGTCGGCCAGGAATTCGTCGCCCGTCCCTCAAGTTCTCCACAACCCCGCAAATAATTTAACAAAAAGCCTTATCCAGAGTGTGATGAGGCGAGGATAGGAGGCGGTGGTGGAGAGAAAGCGGGGGATCTTAAGTCAACGCACGCCCCAGTCGGGTCGCGTGGAGGCGATCGGTCAAGTTGTTTACGCGGGAGAGCTGTGGCGGGAAAAAAGTTGGTGTCAGCTTTTTAGCGGGAAGGTTGGCGCCATCTCCAGCTATGTACGATTCCCCTTGACTGCTACACCGCCTTATTTGTTTATGGCCGTTGATAGGCGTGTGTGATGAGGTGTATGTATTTGTGTACGTGCCTTGTCTGTATTTATATATACAATTTGCTATTTGTGCCCTAAGGATCAAGCTGATAGCTCTTGGACCCCGCCTTTCTAACCGTCGGTTGTCTAATGTACTGACCTAAGTGTAGTTACAGGATGAGAGCTACGCTCTCCTGGTGTCCCGTCTTCCCAGTACTCTTTATCATATAACGCTTTGAAGCTACTGACAGTTTTGGCCTCCACCACCTTCTCACTTAAACTGTTCAACCATCTAGAACTGTGTGTGTGTGTGTGTGTGTGTGTGTGTGTGTGTGTGTGTGTGTGTGTGTGTGTGTGTGTGTGTGTGTGTGTGTGTGTGTGTGTGTGTGTGTGTGTGTGTGTGTGTGTGTGTGTGTGTGTGTGTGTGTGCGTGTGTGTGTGCGTGTGTGTGTGCGTGCGTGCTTGTCAGGGTGATTGTGTGTGTGTGTGAGTGCCCGTGTCAGGGTGATTGAGTGTGTGTGTGTGCGTGTAAGGGGTGATTGGGTAGATTACGGGACATATTTGTGTGAGTTCGTGCTCGCTTGCATGTGTTTCGAAGGTTAAATGTTATGTAAGAAGATGTGTGTGTGTGTGTGTGTGGGTGTACTCACCTAAGAAATGTACTGACCTAAGTGTAGTTACAGGATGAGAGCTACGCTCTCCTGGTGTCCCGTCTTCCCAGTACTCTTTATCATATAACGCTTTGAAGCTACTGACAGTTTTGGCCTCCACCACCTTCTCACTTAAACTGTTCAACCATCTACAACTGTGTGTGTGTGTGTGTGTGTGTGTGTGTGTGTGTGTGTGTGTGTGTGTGTGTGTGTGTGTGTGTGTGTGTGTGTGTGTGTGTGTGTGTGTGTGTGTGTGTGTGTGTGTGTGTGTGTGTGTGTGTGTGTGTGTGTGTGTGTGTGTCTGTGTACACGCTTGCGCGCCCAAGCTGTGGGAATTCGTGTGCTTGCTCCAGGTTTTCATTTATATAACATGGCCACGAGTGTATTCATACACAAAGAGATTATAACCCACCGTGTTATCATCAGGTTCTGGACGCGTCCAACAGATGGCGTGTGGCGGTGTAGATTCAGCTTAACCCGTACCGGCATTCCTGTCAGTCCCACTGTCTATAAATCTCCATTTATTTATCTAACCGTCTCTCCCCCTCACCCCCTACCCACCTACCCTTCTATCCTCTTTTTGGACTGGTTGTTGGGGGTTGGGGAGGGGATGTGGTGGTGGTGGGGGGGGCACTGTCTGTCGCCAGGCTGGCATGTTGACATCAGGGATGTCTGACCCAGTTGTGTCTACGGCTGGCGCCACCTGACCGACCACCCTCTTGTTCCCCATGCTCTTCCCCCCCCCCCCCCACCTTTTCTATTCCCCCTCCCCTCCTCTACCACCACCATCATACCCCCCGCCCCCCGAGCCTCCGTCCAAGGAACTATCCCCTTCCTACCTACCCCCTGCCCTCACCCCTCTCTTCCTTGGCGCCAAAGGTTATGCCTTTCATCTTATCTAGTCAGAGGGTGTGTGTGTGTGTGTGTGTGTGTGTGTGTGTGTGTGTGTGTGTGTGTGTGTGTGTGTGTGTGTGTGTGTGTGTGTGTGTGTGTGTGTGTGTGTGTGTGTGTACTCACCTAATTGTACAGTGCTAGGGGATCGTAGTCCTAAGGTCCCGGGTTCGATTCCCGGCCAAGGCAGAAATAAATGGGCAGAGTTTCTTTCACTCTGATGCACCTGTTCCTGATTAAACAATTCCTGTTGCCTCCGGCGGCACCCGGCGTCGCTCGGGTGCCGCCGGAGGCGACACCTTCACTACATACACACCACACTTACACTCTAGCTTCATTACTGACACCTCTTCCCTAAACACTATCTTCGTTGCCCTAATTATCTTTACTACACACACCTTCCCTCACTTTACTACCCTTCACCACCTTCCCTACCCTTCACCACCTTCCCTACCCTTCACCACCTTCCCTACCCTTCACCACCTTCCCTACCCTTCACCACCTTCCCTACCCTTCACCACCTTCCCTACCCTTCACCACCTTCCCTACCCTTCACCACCTTCCCTACCCTTCACCACCTTCCCTACCCTTCACCACCTTCCCTACCCTTCACCACCTTCCCTACCCTTCACCACCTTCCCTACCCTTCACCACCTTCCCTACCCTTCACCACCTTCCCTACCCTTCACCACCTTCCCTACCCTTCACCACCTTCCCTACCCTTCACCACCTTCCCTACCCTTCACCATTTCCGTTTCATCCCTGCCATCTTAGTGAGGATAGGGTAATTATATTTAGAGGGATTATGAATTAGAATGATTGGCCATATTCATGCAAAGGAACGAGGCATGGTGCTTGACCTCGACACGCCTATGACTCTCCCCAACCAAGGACCAATCACCCTGCAAAGTTTGATTAGACTAGCCCTAAGTATCTGGCTCCAACCTTCGAACAGACAAACAAACACTTTTTTTAGATACAGATATAATTTATAGATATAGATACAAGTTCTTCAGTTCCGCTAATCTACCTACCACATTTAACATATTATTTTTACCTAAAATTGATATAAGTTCTGACAGATATTTACCATTAGTCCTACTCATGTTCAGTTTCTGGTTCTACTGTGGAGTAAGACGCTATACGGGCTCACCATAGCCCGTGCTACTTGGAACTATTTGTTCCAGATAGTGAATCTTAAACAACAACATTCTGTGTAGAAATTTAACGCAATTTTTCTTATTTTTCAGTCGACGAACCGAGAGACATGGCCGAAGAACTCACTGGAAGAGGTGAGTGTACTCTCAAACGTGTTTCTAATCCTAATTTTGTTTTCTTATGTGGGCTAGTATATGGGTTTCTAATTCTAAATAGTTTCAGTATCTTAGTATTCAAGTTGCTAGGTATCTCTCTTCTTGTTAGGTGTGGTATTGAATCCTGTATTTAGGTTTTGAATTCAATATCCTAGTTGTTCAATATCCATAGCTGAAGAGTGGTTTCTAATCCTATAAATTACAACAGTATTGTTTTGATGGAGTGTACAGGATTTCCAATCCTTTAACACTAAGTTAAAGTGGTATCTAATCACTCGCGACGTCGCAGTGACCTCGTTGTGACGGCACCAGAGAAATAGTTAATATCAGTCAGTCATTTTTAATCCCTTTGTATTGTTGACTTATGCTTATGAGGTCTTTTGTGTGTTTATTGCCTGTCTGTCATCTGGGAATTCATGTTTACTTTGTAACATTGTATCGGCCAGCCAAGTGTGTGTGTGTGTGTGTGTGTGTGTGTGTGCGTGTGTGTGTGTGTGTGTGTGTGTGTGTGTGTGTGTGTGTTTAGTTGGGAGGGGGGGGGGAGAAACTGTGGGGGTGTGGGGGAGGAAGATCGTAGTGTCATGTTGGTAGATATCTGCTTGATGGGGTTCTGGGAGTTCTTCTACTCCCCAAGCCCAGCCCGAGGCCAGGCTTGACTGCCTGGTGGAAAAGGAGGGGTTGGGGGTTGGAAATGGGCAACGTTGATGTGTTGGGGGTTTAAGTAGGAGGTGCATTCGAGTATTGGGGGTGTATGTGAGTGATGTGTGTGTATGTAAGCGAGGGAGATGGAAGATACTTGAAGGCTAGGGGCCAGATTCACGAAGAAGTTTCGCAAGTACTTACGAACCTGTACATCTTTCCTCAGTCTTTGATGGCTTTACATCTTTCCTCAGTCTTTGATGGCTTTGGTTACATTTATTAAACAGTTTACAAGCATGAAAACTTGCCAATCAGCTGTTGTTATTGTTATAAACAGCCTCCTGGTACTTCGGAGCTCATTAATTGTTTAATAATTGTAAACAAAGCCGCCAAAGATTGAGAAAAGATGTACAAGTTCGTAAGTCTTTGCGTAACTTCTTCGTGAATCTAGCCCCAGGTCCAAAACTTGTACAGTAGAATAACAACATACTGGAGCGAAAGATACGGAAGGAAATGCAGAATAGAACCAGCAAGAGTAGTGCCATTGGCACAATCAGAGTACACTGAACATCAGAGGGCCACGTCTGTTCAATACTCTCCCAGCAAGCATTAGAAATATTGCCAGAACAAAGGTGGGCTTCTTGAAGAATCATTTAAACAAGTTCTTGCAAGAAGTGTCGGACCAACCAGGCAATAGCGGATATGTGGGCCTGCGGCCCGCTCCAAGCAACAGCCTGTTGGACCAAGTTATCAAGGGCCGGGCTCGGGGGAGTAGAAGAACTCCCGGAATCGTCTCCAGGTGTGATGCTCCAGGGGGCAGAGGAGTAAATTACCCAAATAGTGGTTTTCTGAGAGTGATTCGTAGTGGTGAGGTCTATCTTAGTGTATCGGGGAGGCCAGGTAGTTGATTGATTGCCAGGTAGTGTTTGGAAGGTAAGGAAGTGAGGTGAGGCCAGTGGACTGTTGAGAGGCCAGGGAAGTGAGTGGAGGGGCAAGGAAGTAAAGGGAGGGGAGGGAAGGGAAGTGATGGGGAGGGGAGTGTGTCAGGTGAGGGAGAGGGGGTGTTAGGGGAAGGGGGAGAGGAGGCGCGCGCCCTCTAGGACTCTGGACAACCTGGCGCCACACTCACCACCACACCCTCCTTTCACCTGCTCCCTCCCTCCCTCCCTCCCTCGTCTTTCTCTTAACCTCTATTTCGTTAACTTCTTTTTTAATATTTCTCACCTTCCTGGTGTGGCACACAGTGACTGCGTGGGGTGAGGTCTGTGGCTCCTGGTGCCCCGAGTACCGCCTGGGTGTGCCTACTGCGTTATTGTTTTGTTTTTGTCAACATTCCTGGCGCGTTCTGTGTCGTATCTGACCTTTAGGGTGTGGATGGAGGTGGCTTCCACGACTTCTTCCTCGAGTGCTTTCTACGTGTTGTCCATCCGTAAAGGGACATTTCCTCAACTCATTGGCATATCCAGCTTTTACCTACTATATGTTCCCTCCTGTTTTCTCTCCATTTAAAAATAGACTCTCCTTCTCCACCTCCTTATCCTTTTATTCCTTTCCCCATCTATTTTTTTCTGCCCTGTTTCCCTCTGTGTTCTCCGGCTTGTGGGCCATATGAGTGGCGTCTATCTTCGCAACATTCGGACATTTTCTCCTTGACCTGGTCCAAAAGTTAGGGAGAAACTTGACTTTTGACTTGAAACTTGAGCAGCGAGGCTGTTAATGTTTGGTGCAAGCAATACAGCCTGTTGGACCAAGCTCTCACAAGTCAAGCTTGGCCTCGGGCCGGGCTTGGGGAGTAGAACAACCCCCACAACCCTACCAAGGAAGGTGGCTCCTGGATTGACGTCTGGTCGATTGCCTGGTTAAGGTATTAAGCAGGTTGACGTCTCTCGTGGGTGTACTGGCTGATCGCCCTGGTTCTGGTCGAATCGCAGGTGACCACAGCCGTCGTCCTCTTGGGTATCGTATGCAGAGGTCGTCCAGGTCTGGTCGATTGCCTGGAGGTCAGAGGGTAGCAAGCGACGATGGAGTCGTTCTCTGGGAATTATGGGGTACTGGGCGGTTCTGGGTCTGGGGGGAGGGAGGGTGTAGAGGTATTTGTCCAGTGCTACCTTGACCTAATGCTTTACCGTACTAGGGGGGGGGGGGCAGTTTGGCCTAACAGTGTTCTTCCTTGCGCCCTCTCTACACTTAAGACAATTCGTAATCACAGTAAGTTTTTTGACCGGGGTACCCTTCTCTTACACCCAATATCTTGAAGTCACTGGGCTCTAAGACCTGTATTGGCATGAACATCATGATGCTATACTGACGTCACACACCTCGTGTATGCCATATATGAAACATTTTATCACCTGTGATGACGTAGAAGGGATACATACTTTTCTCAGATCATAGACCCTAATCCTTCAAGTGCCGGGGCTCTTGGAAGGGTATAGGCTCCTGATTCGTGTAAAGGTTGTAGATAAGTGTCTCGTCTTGTCATTGTGATCTGAGGGAGCTGCCCGTCAGCTCAAGAAGCCAGTGGTGGTGGTGGACACTGAGCTCCTCTGCTGTCATTGTGGGTAGGTTCCTGAGCCTGTCTTGTGGGATGAACGGGTCGAGTTAGCGCGCGGTGGCGGCACTTCTAGGCTCTGGGGGTCAACCGGAGAAGACTGGAATAGATTAAAGGTTGGCATATGCGAATGATGGTAGAAGATTGATTTCTGTTTACTTGTCCCATCTCCGGTTGAGGGGAGGAAGGCTTCTAGGGGGCGAGGGAAGGGGGTGGGAGCTGAATGGGGGGGGGGGGAGTAAACAGGATGGGGAAGAGGAGGGAGGGGGGGAGGGAGGGAGCAGTACTAGTATTGATATGATCTTGAATGCGGAGGCTCGACATGACCTCACTTTGACAGCAGAGGTCAAGATTAAAATACACTTGCTAGTTGGTCACCATGTTATTGTGGTGTTCTTAATATAACCCTCGAGTGACTGACGGGCCTTAAGCCCAACTCCAGACCGAAACTAATTGCTCAATCTCGATTGCGAGTTTGAAACACTCCTGCAGTCGTTTTCTATCTTACCTCACCGCGTATAAGCTACCCCCAGTCACCCATAGACCCAGTATTCCGTACTAACTCCTATAACAACCTTGCATTAAATGAACATCTTTATATCTGTTGACCAGACCACACACTAGGAGGTGAAGGGACGACGACGACGACATTTCGGTCCGTCCTGGACCATTCTCAAGTCGATTGTGACTTGAGAATGGTCCTGGACGGACCGAAACGTCGTCGTCCCTTCACCTCCTAGCGTGTGATCTGGTCAACATACTTCAGCCACGTTATTGTGACTCGTCGCCTGCATCTTCATATCTACTCAATTCAGGTCAGTCACTGAACATTTTTTTCCTTCGTAGACTTTGCCGTGCTGCTCAACGGCCGCACTTCGCAGACGCCGATGACAACGAGCCGCGTGGCCACAGGGCGACTCTTCTTGCGGAAGAAGACGCTTCACTTCTCCTTCCTGCTGGAAGCTGGCGCCCCTCCACCTGCCTCCATACAGTTCCTGAACGACAGTGGGGACATACTGGAGCAGCTGGAGGCGCAGCCTACGCCCTACGAGGCTACCAACAACAGAATATGTGGAGCTTGGACCAGGGTACCCAAGGAGTACAGGTGGGACATGTATTATCGTCACTGCTGTATTTTCAGGCTTTTGTTTGGGTTTGTATTTACTGATTCTACAGTACTGATATAGATGATGGCAACAGTGCAGTAAATCAAATGAACAACTCCACAAGGGCCGCGATGAGGGTTCGAACCTACGTCCGGGATGATCCCAGACGCGCCTTAGTCGACTGCGCCACTGTAAACACCTTGTGGATTTGTTCATTATATCCCTATGTATGTGTATGACCCTAGCGACACAAAATGTATATTGTAATCCCATTCTGGCACGTATATTAATTTAGATATGCACTTCACAATTTCGTGTATATAGTATTTTTTAACGAGGGGGAAGAGACCCGGGCATCCCGAGCTGTATACTGTATACATGGAAATGTATACTCGTGGTTGGAAACTAGACAAGGAAGAAGAGGGGAAAAGAGGGCAAGGGGGGGATGGAATAGGGGTGTGGGGGAGAGAAACAGACTGTCCCGGGCATCGCCGGGTAGCCCTCTTGATGACCTCTCTATTGATCTTCTACTGGGGGGGGAGCCCTGGTTGTAATGACTGCTGCGGCGGTCACTGTGTCCCTGTACTCAGTCACCGCTGACACAGTACACTGACACAGGAGTATACTGACACAGGAGTACACTGACACAGTACACTGACACAGGAGTACACTGACACAGTACACTGACACAGGAGTATACTGACACAGGAGTATACTGACACAGTACACTGACACAGGAGTAAACTGACACAATACACTGACACAGGAGTACACTGACACAGTACACTGACACAGGAGTACACTGACACAGTACACTGACATAGGCGTACACTGACACAGTACACTAACACAGGAGTACACTGACACAGGAGAACACTGACACAGAAGTACACTGACACAGGAGTATACTGACACAGTACACTGACACAGGAGTAAACTGACGCAATACACTGACACAGGAGTACACTGACACAGGAGTAAACTGACGCAATACACTGACACAGGAGTACACTGACACAGGAGTAAACTGACGCAATACACTGACACTGGAGTACTATTAGGTGAGTATAGAACACACTATTGTGAGTCTATTAGGTGAGTACTGACACATGAGTACACTGACACAGTACACTGACACAGAACACTGACACAGGAGAACACTGACACTGGAGTACACTGACACAGGAGTACACTGACACAGTACACTGACACAGAACACTGACACAGGAGAACACTGACACAGGAGAACACTGAAACAGGAGAACACTGACACATGAGTACACTGACACTGGAGTACACTGACACTGGAGTACACTGACACAGGAGTACACTGACACAGGAGAACACTGACACAGAACACTGACACAGGAGTACACTGACACAGGAGTACACTGACACTGGAGTACACTGACACAGGAGTACACTGACACAGAACAATGAAACAGGATCACACTGATATTCCTATTTAGCATTGTTATAGTGCACTCTATTTTTGTTCCTTTACATTATTATATATCATTTAATTTAATATTGCAACTTTAACATTATTTTTATAATGTTAATTTTTATAATCAACATTATCATTCTTCTTAACTTTATTAACATGTAACTGAAAACGTTACTTTCAATAGTTGTCAAACCAGATATGTCGAGGGTTACAAATCTCTCCTATCAACTGTCAGTTGTCTCACTTCACTAACGCCACCTTTTGACCTTCAGAGCTTTACTGAGGGACGAAAAGATGTGGGTTGCAATATCCCCTCCAGATGACTCCCAAGAAGACGTGATCAGTGGACAGTTAGCACGGTACGTGGGGGTCGACACGGAGGTGTTCTCGGCGCTACTCACACCTACACCCACTGCCAATCAGACCCTTAGTGGCGGAGGCACCGCAATCATCTCTGTCGACCGCAAGACAGACTCCCTGCATGTGAGTCTCGTCTTTAATGGGATATTTGCTGCAGAGGAATCCCGCAATGCCACGCTTGTAGTGGAACTTCTGCCTGAGCGTGGCCTTGACCCGGTGACGGACACAGTTGTTCTGCCCAAGGTTTTCTCGGTAAGTAGGGCTTTGAACGTTAAGGGATTTTTTGTAATAAAACCTTGATGTGGCTGTATTATAATGCAGCCTCTAATCTTTCATTGGATTATGAGTCTCAGATAAGGCTGAAGTAATTAAATTTGGTTTTGCAAGTCAGTACAAGTATTAAGAACATTTTATACAACAATTAATTTATGATAATATATACAGACAGGAGATGGGTAGAAAACATTATGGGCAATACATTGCTTATACAAATTATTTTCCTTCTTTATTTAAGGACTTGAATCGGGCAGAAATAATGACTACTCTGGGAGACAATAGTCTTATTCGACTGACCCGAGGCCAAGTGGCTATGAAAATCTGGAGTCAGGCTGCTCCAGAACGGGCCCTGGAGGGCATGATCACTCCTCGGGCCACCTGTAATGTGTTTTCTGCAGTCCTAAGCATACCAGTTCCAGACCCTGAAGATGTCGATGCTCCGGAGAGGACAGATGCATCGTCGCCTCATGGTGCAGGCTGGGCTCTCCTTACCCTCTCCAATGATGGCACCTTCCAGTATCAGGTGTTTGTGAAAGATTTTGATGTTGCCACTCTTACATTGGAAACGAAACATCGGCGTCGAGATCGCATCGTCGACAACCTGACCCCATTTTATCGGGAAAATTGGGCTAATGGTACCTACGATAGACCAACATACAGTGATCTGGATGCTCTGCTCCGTGGGAAGCTGGAGGTTGTAGTGAGCGCTGGGGAGAATAGTGAAGAACTTCGTGGGATGCTTAACCCAGTAGCAGTGACAGAAGCTTTACGGTCTCCACAGCCCGTACTATTATCATCCCCTGAAGTACCTATGGCTGCAACAGTGTGGGTGGCTGTAGATTCGGCATGTGTCACTCATTATGATGTGATGGTTGCGGGTCAGCCTCCAGGAGGGGCTGTTGAACCCTTCTGGAACCTCATCCTCCGTGAAAGAGACGACTCCTGGGATCCAAGACACGAGAATACTAGAGTTGACCTTGAGACACAGGTGGAGGGACGTGAACTCTTTGCTCATTCAACCCAGCTGACCCGCTTGTCCCTTTCCCGTCTCGGTGCTGGAGTGACCTACCTGGACTTAGTCTTGCTGCCTCATGAAAACAACACCACCCTACAGCCTTCTCTGAGTGGTCTTGTGCAAGGAGTCTCTGTCCCTTCCAATTGCCTCCTTGGTTCAGATGTTCATGACATGATAATGCCTGAAAGGGATAGTGAAGAATGTTCACACGGAATGTGTGTTTTAGATGAAACCGAGGCAGAGGCCGTTAGCAATAACTGTATTGATGAAGGTCAGTGACTAGAATTTTTTTTATAATTGTATACTGTACTGTACTCATATTTTGATTACTAATTATTCGCACTGATTATTCGCCAGGAAGAGACTTAGCAAATTTGTCTTTTATCACTGGAAAATTAATCACTGTACTTTTGTCAATCACCGATATAGTTTGGGGTTTATATATATTAACTACATGAATACTCTGTGCTGCATAAATACTCTACACATAGTGTAACAATATTAAGAACTTGCACGAGGTTGAAGAAAATCTAATGATATCTACTATTCTGTAAAATACAGTAGTATTTTACATGAATAGAGATACAACTTCTTATTTTTAACAGCGAATATTATCTTTCTCTTGCAGAGAAGCGAGTGTTTGAGGATGGAACCAGCTGGCAATCACCTGTCAACACGTGTTCCATGTGCATGTGTCGAAGAGGTAAAATCACGTGTCAAGATGTGGTGTGCCTCGAATTAGACTGTGATGGAGCGTACACCCCACCGAACCAGTGCTGCCAAGTGTGCCCAGGTGAGACCACTAACACACAGACATGAGCATTCGAACAGAGATAGGCATTAGAATTGATGGGAACAGAACGAGACACAGGAAAATTTTAAATCTGGATGACTCCGGAAGACACTAGAAAATATTTCTTCAGTGTAACAGGTAGTGAGCAAGTGGACTGAGTTTAGAAGAGGTAGCAAAGCCTAATTAAGCTCACTACCTAAACAGCAAATATGATAGAGCATAAGAGGGTTAGATGTTTGTGCACCAGATGACTTAGCGTGGCAGCCTGAGACAAATAACAAGGTGAAGATAGGATTAATCCCAAGCACAATATGTAAAATGCATATAAATATTTACTGAAATAATGGTATACCTGATTTGGACCAAATAATTATAAATAACCTTTAAATATGGCAATATGGCAATTCTTTCTTAATAAGAATTTGAATGCAATAGTGCAACACTGTCCAGGTACCCCCCCCCCCCTCCCCCATGGATATTATGCTTTACTTAACAAATGCTGAAACTTGGTCATTCAACACGACAACTAAATGACAACTCTTGATATTGAAAAGTGAACTACAATCTCTATATATAAAATCTTCTTACAAGTGAGTGCACCCGCTCAACAAATAATATTGAGTGCTTTTCATTAAGATTTCATTAGGCTCTTACTCTACCCAGTATTCTCCAGCAAATATATTACTACTTTACTCTCATATAGTGGTTCCCTTAATCTCCTCTGAATTAACTTACAATTAATCTTGATTAGGCAAGTATGAGTGTACAATAAGTGTATGCATATACTTAAATAATGAGCTGTTGAGTTTTAAAATATACCTAAGAAAGATCATCAAGGCAAATGGGGGGGGGGAAACCTTTGACAAGCCGCCGGCTTCCTGTCCTTGTCGAGGCCACTAGGGTTAGTGGCCTTCAGTTAAATCAGGTAAAATAAATCAACTGGCTTGCTCACCAAAAGAAAATTTTTCCCTGTGCTTAGAACACTTCATGGCAACATCCTATCAGAAAGGGAATGAAGAGGGAATTTGATCTACCTTTATTTTGCAGGTGGCAGTGATGTTGCTGAAGAAAAGAAAATGTGTGAGTTAAATAATCAAAAGCATCTCGTGGGATCCAAATGGCATCCTTTCCTTCCTCCAGAAGGCTTTGATAAGTGTGTCTCCTGTGCCTGTGAAGTAAGTAGTGATATTTATCTAGTTTGCAAAATACAGTTGTAAAAGAACAAATTAACAAATCCACATGGGCCATGACGAGGATTCAAACCTGCGTTCGAGAGCATCCCAGACACTGCCTTAATCGACTGAGCTACGACATGGTATAAAAGGAGTTGAAACCGAAGTTCTACTGAACTTACTGGATCCTGCAGCCTCTCCGAGGCACAAACCAGGATTTTTCTGTTTCAATACATGTAATGAACACTTTGATGTGCAGATGCTCTCGGACGCAGGTTCGAATCCTCATCACGGCCCTTGTGGATTTGTTCATTTGATGCATCACGCAACTGTGATTTCTGTGTGTACAGTTGTAAAACTTTGAATATTTGCTGTTTCAATACATGTAATGAACACTTTGATGTGCAGATGTATTGCTTGTTCGAAGGCAGTTTCGTCATTTATCATCCAGAGGCTGTTATAAACTAAAAGATTCTTTCTCACAATCCAGCTAAATTCAAGTGCACAACCAGTAGTTAACTGCCATCGGTCCCCTTGTCCACTGCTTTCCTGTGATGTTGATGACATGGAGCAGCAGCCAGACTCCTGCTGTGCAAAGTGTCGAGCCACAAGACCTGAGGTTGCTTTGCCTACAGCCCAGCCAGGGATGGTCAATGAAGGGGATTTACTTACAGAGGAGGAGCATAGGAACAACATTCTCAGCAGAGGTGGTTGTCTTAGGAACAATCGGGTGAGTACCTTGTCATGCAAGGTTCATTGTTACTCAAGTGATAAGTGACCTGCCCAAAATGCTATGCGTGCTAGTGGCTTTGCAAGAATGTTAAAATACCAATATTATGTAATCTCACGAACCCATTATAGCTTCTTGTAAATAAATTATTATTATTACTGTATTATTATTATTATTATTATTATTATTATAATAATAATAATAATAATAATAATAATAATAATAATAATAATAATAATAATAATAAGTACTGTAAAACAAAAAAGTGGAAACCTACTAAAACTGAATTATCGGTTCTTTATCCCCTTCTGTTGCATTTGATATTCACTATTTTTTGTCAATAATTATTACCGGTATGTCAAGCAGCAAATATGCAACTCTTCAATTTTCTGTTGCAAAAAAATGAAAGCCAAAATACCCAAGATAGGAAAAAGAGCTCACAAGTAATGTGTCTAAACAATAAGGGGTCAAAAATAGTTTAGTTATAACATTTAATTTCTCTATATAATAAAGTACCAGTGCACTTGACATTATGGAATATACTGTATAATGGAATTTGATTCAGAAAAAATATACAAGTGACTAAGTTACTGTTCACATGCGCAGAATAAATATTTTTCTGAAATTTGTACAAGACAACTAAGTTTGTTATAATGTTCTGTTTCTTAATAAGATTTACTCTTTCTACTTATAAGTGTAGCCATGAGCTTATGGGACATGGCTCTTGGTTATCAGGTATCTGGTGCAGTTATTTCCTTGATGCTCTTATCTATGATGTAAGTTTACTACTGTACATATGCGTGTTTTCTTTCACCTTTCTTGACTCGTTTATTTATTTAATGTATTTATTTATATATGTACAAGAAGGTACATTAGATGTATGAGAGTACATAGCATTGATGTTTTTACATTCTTGTAAAGTCACTAACATGCATAGCATTTCAGGCAGGTCCTTAATCTAACAGATAATTTTAAGTAGGTAATTTGTAACAAAATTGAAAAATATTAACAGGTTCCTGTACACTGTAAGAAAAATGGAAGAAAAGTAGTAGGTACATCATAGTAAAATTTGAGGATTATCAACACGTACAATGTAGCATAATTTGAGGATTATTTCTAGGTACATTGTAGTAAAATTTGCGTTCCACATAACAACCATGATATAGGATGATAGCGGTGATTACAATGATCAAGTTGTATGGCTTAGGTACATAAATTGAGGAAGTGGGTAGCAAAAGATACAGTGAGAATTTGAAGCACTAGGTAGGAAACTATGAGGATGAAATTAGGTACTTTTAGGTGTTACTTCTGAATATGGCGTAGGTTGGACAGCTTTTTAATTCATTAGGGAGTGACTTCCATAGACTAGGTACCTTTATTTGCATAGTGTTTACACAGATTTAGTTTGACTCTGGGGATATCAAAGATATATTTATTTCTGATGTGGTGATTATGGGTTCTATTATGTTTGACTTTTAAAAAAAGTGGTCTGGATATTGATCTATACCACTTTAGTATTTTTAAAATTTTCGGTGAGATCTGCCTTGTCATGTCTGGTTTGCAGTATTGTTATTTCATGAGTTTATTCATACATGTTAGGATTTTATCGAGGTTCCTTCCCCGGTCCCCCCCCCCCCCCCCCCAAGGTCAAATTACTGACCCCACGCAGTATGCAACCCCACAATAAGCTGACTCACTCCTGAGTACCTATTTACTGATAAGTAGAAGGAAATGTGCCCAACCATTTTTGTCCCACCCGGGATTCAAACCCAGAATTCTCGATTGTGCGTCGAGAACGAATCCGACTGTACTACCGGGATCCTAAATTTGTTTATTTTAAGCAATTTGTTTAATAAGGTAATTAATTTATTACATGCAAAACAGTTGATTAGTAGCAGCCATGACAAATGGTCATAAAATATTTTCTACATTCAAAGAACTTTAGTTATGGAGAGTGTGAATTCAGAAAGCATCTACAGTATATACCAATCTCTTACTTCTCAGCACTGATCATTTTTACCTTTTATATAGGTCGTGTATGAGAATGGTGCGGAGTGGCACCCCAGAGTGGCATCTATTGGATTCTACAAATGTGTAACCTGCAAGTGTAAGGTGAGACCCACATAGCAGTTTAGTACTGTATATATAAAGTTTACGGAAAGGAGCCAGTGCATAAGGGGTAACTTTGTTTTTTTATTTTGACCTCGACGAGGGGTCTATCCATTTTGTCCTTATGCTTTTTTTCAGGTGGCTGTTGAATTGAAGCAGCGTTTTTGCATTTACGGCTTCGGCGGGTAGACAGTTCTGTGCATTTGTAACTTTATGACCGAAATAGCATCTCCTCTTGCTGTACATGTACTGTACAGAATATGATATTCAATTTCTGTCCCTATTAATTAACCTCTTCACATTTTCTTATGTATAGTTTATAAATACAAATTATTCTTATTATTCTTATAATTATATATATTTTTATTATTATTATTATTATTACAGCATATGTACACTAGATACTGTTAAGGCAGTGCGAAAGGAAATAAGTATTTGGTTCTAATATTTATTAATTATAAGTTTTCCTTAAATATGGGGATAAACATATCATGACAATCAGTGCAGATTTCATTCACTTTAAGTGTCTTTAAAGTCTTTTACTTTATTTTTGTTAGTCTTTTGTATGGTATATATATATTGCTTTGGTTTCCTGTAGTCAGGGACAGGATGCCTGTTAGGTTGATTGAGGTTCCTCTAGGCCATCTACTGACCTGCCCCAGGTTACAATCACAATAGTTGCCAAACTACTAGGTCAACAGAGGCATTAGGTGCAAGGAAATATGCACAACCGTTTCTGTTCAGCCTGGGGATCGAATCTGGACTCCTCAGTTGTGAACTGAAGACATAGATCACCAGAGTGGTAAGGAAATGTTTCTGCTCCAGTCAGCCTTAATTTTAGCCATAAATCCCCAGTTTGATGTACTCACTTAGTTGTGCTTGCGGGGGTTGAGCTTTGGCTCTTTGGTCTTCGTATGTGCGTGATAAGAAAATCAAATTATGAAACTAGTTCACTGTGAAGGTAATTTGTTTATTTACTTGAATTTACCTGAGAACTTCTAACACACTAGTGGCCTCAACAAAGACAGGAAGCCAACAGCTTGTCAAAGGTTCCCCCATTTGTTCTGATGATTATTTCAAGCTGAATTTTACATTTCAGTAGGGTTTTGGCATTTTTACGGGTTACCATTGCCATTGTTATACAGGGTTTATAACCCTTTGGGTGAAAAAAGCATCTGTTTTCAGTCCTACACTGTAGTCACCTAGTTGTGCTTGCGGGGCTTGAGCTCTGGCTCATTGGACTCACCTCTCGACTATCAGTCAACTGGTACAAGTTGATTGGCTTGTTGACTGTGGCTTGTTGAGCTTGAAACCGTTACTCCTTGTTTTTATTATGTCTGATCTTTTGAAGAATTTGTCTGGATCAACATCCCTATGTTAGAGGTTGTACTTGTCGTCATTCTTGAACCGATTGTTGATATAGTAATTCATTAAGCTGTGTAATTAGTGTATCAAGACTGTAACTTGGGTAGAAATACCCTAAGCTACTCTATCCCTTTGAGATGTATTTCTTTCTTGTCTCAATAAACGAACTTGAACTTGAACTTGAACTTGACTGTAACTTGCTTAGCTAAATTAATTTGTGGCTTCAGTTTCTGAGCCTATATGTGCCTCTGTAACCTTTTCCAATACCACCCACAGGATGGGTAAGGGAGTGCTTAATAAATGAGCTAAACTAAAAAAAAAAATCAGTGCAAACAGCTGGTTAGTGCCTAATTTTTGTGATAGCAAAATCTGCAAATGGAAGTCTTCAGGACTTCCTAAGTGTTTCCTTAAACATCCATAATTCCTGAATTAACTGGGAATGTGTTATGTTTTGGTCCCAAAAAAAAAGCTTATTTCTAGTTTTGTTTATTAAATAAAATAAATGTTAATAACATTATAACTGCTGGTATAAAAACATTAAATGAAAACAAAAGAAAATAGATATCATAATAAGAACTGTACATAAGTAATACTAAATACTACACATCACGTTCAATCTTAACAGACCGTTTTGGGGAAATATGACATAAGGCTATTAATGAAAAACTTCTTGGGGAAAGCACACAATCAAAATTAGAATTTAATTACAGTATATAAATTTTGCAATCCAGATGATAATGATCAGCAGTTCCTGTGGCACAATGGTAAGACACTCACTTGGCATTTTGCGAGCGCTTTGGCTTGGGTTCGAATCCTTGCCAGGGAGGATTGACCAGGTGCCAATCCTTAACTGTAGCCTCTGTTCACTCAGCAGTGAATGGGTACTCGGTTGTTAAACGATTCGGCGGGGTCGTATTCCGGGGAAAATTAGGATTAAGGACTTGCCCGAAACTCTACCCGTGCTAGTGGCTTTACTAGAATGTAAACATTTGGCATGTTGTAAAAGCTTGTTTTAGATTTAGGGTTTTTGGTTGAATTTAATACAGAATAGTAATACAAGGCTTTGAAAACATGAATATTAATTAATAAACATAATGCCATTGTAAGGAATTAAGAGCTAAGCTCACAGGTATTATTCAGAAATGATTTTCTCTGGCATAATGTTTCATAGCTAAATAAATATACAGTACAATTTATTTTATAATAATTTCTCATCTTATCTTTCAACAGGATAGAAATATCACATGTGTTAACCAGCAGTGTCCCACTCTAAGGTGCCCAGCTATGGTACAGGAAGAACAAGAGTGTTGTCCTCGGTGCACTAATGAGAACAGCACTATTAATAACCGGAATAAAGCACAGTGGCGAAAACCATTCAGAACACCCTCTCACAAGAATAAGAACAACCGTATGCGTAGTTCAGGTTATGGTCAAGCAGTAAACACTGGCAATAAATTTTATGGTGGTTAAGACTTCAAGGGTTGCAGTAACTGCCATGCACCATATTTGGATGTTTTTTACAGAACGGAGAGATGCTAATCATGCTGAATGTTTGCTTTTGCAACTGGGATCTCCAACCTGTTATTTTTCCTTCTTTTGTGGCCCTGATGTAGCAACTATCTTTGATGAAGTATGAAGGTATGATGGGAGTCATAAAACATAGGACAAAAAGGAAGCACGCACGTCTCGGGTTCTGAATGCAAACTATGATGTGCTAAACTAAAACTGCTAAAAAAAAAACAGAACCTTGAAATAAATTACAGTAAACACCGAAACCAAACTAAAAAAAAAAATCACAGTATTCTTTTACATATACAAATCAACAAATAGCTAAAGGTTGCAATCATATCGTAAGGTCTTGACATCAAGAGTGGCTGATATGCAGACATGCCTGAAGCTCTTAGCAGTCTTAAGAATGCAGAGAGGCCTGAGGTCTTCCAAGTAGGGCTGAAGGATGAGGACAGGTCTAAATTCCTAAAGCATTTTATTATGCCCCGGGATGTAGAAATGCCTGACGTGCCCAATAAAGGGCCAGACTGCATGGGACCTGAGTTGTTAAGCTGCTGCTGAGGTAAGACTGACATCTTCCTGGTGGAAGATGTCACCGAGGAAACAAAACTAGTATTCTGCAAGAATCACGGAAGGACTTAAGGTACTTTTTTTTTTTTTTTTTTTTTTTTTTTTTTTTTTATACACATAAGCCAGTCATTTTCAAAGCAAACATTTTTGCATCTGTTGAATGCAAGTGTGACACCACCCCCAATAAACGAATGTTATGATTTTGAATATGAATATAAAACTATTCTTGCAGCGAATGGATACTAACCTGAGGATAAGTGTTACCATACGTGTACTGTACAGTATATTGAGTGTTACTAATGCATTAGGAATGGATTATTGTAGAAGTAACCTACAATATTTTATACCAGTGCACCTAGTAAGGAGGCTTGGCTTAATACAGTAGTGGCAAAAAAATAAATTATATAAAAGTTTATTCTAACCACCTTGATTGATTCCTCTCTACCCCTCGGCAGCATGCTGCCTGTTTTTTGTACCAAAGATGATGGGTGTTTCTAAATCTGATTTTGAGTAGCTACAAGAGTATTGACGTATTGGTGAGGAGATCAGCAATTATATTGCCATAAAACTGTTCAGATGGCTCATTTTTTACTTCATTAAAAACTAGCTTTCTGTGATGAACAGTAACCTCTTCCCTTACACATATTGTGAGACTTAAGGAATTTACTAATAAAATGAATTAAAAATCAAACTTGTTGTGTTTACAATGCTTCAGTTGTTGATCAGAAACAAGTATGAAAAACACAAAACTATGAATCTCCTCACTCTTACCCCTCTCCTCCTTTTATTCTGTATCTGGTGGGCAGAACTCACACTATAAAACACTGACAGAGTTCATACTCCAAGCTCAATTCTAGGCTGATAATGTAGGTTACTGAAGTCATATTTTGAAGTGCTGAGGGTGTGATCACTTCTCATGTGGTGCATTTTATTCAAACTGTGGAGGCTACTGCTTCTATTCATAGGGTGAAACAGTAAATGTAGTTTATTACTTTTATTAGAATGATGTTGTGAACTTTTTTTGATGGCAACAGGGTCTGATTCAGTCTTTGAGGCTACAAGTGATGAAGAGTATATAGTTTTAAGTCCTGACAATTAGAGAGTTTTTTTTCGGTGAAACAGACCCTGATGTAGTAGGAAGAACAATATTTTTGTAAAAATGTATATACATTATAATAGTATTAGCTATTTTGTGACTAGAGATTGCTTTACAGTTATATGCATGTTTGGGAATCACTGCAACTCTACAAAATAATTCAGTAAGGTTTACTCTTAAGGTGGAACTGGAGCCTAACTGAATTATGAAAGGATATATAAGCTCATGTCCCCAATGTCCAGCAGATTGTCATCTATGGATAAGTGCAAATATTAATTCAGTTAGTTGGCAAGCAATGCCTTTCTAAAAATGTCATGGTGTATGATACATTAATATGATGATGAGGTTTGGAGTTGCAGAAAATATATTAGAAGGCCAGTTAGATTTTTTTTGCAAAATATGTTGTTTGCCACAACACAATGAAAATAACATGTATTAGGCCCAGTTAGCAAAGAATTTGCTAGCATTATGCAGTTTTTATTTTTTGTTTTTATTTTGACTCAGAAAAAGTAATTACATTTCTTTATTATGATGTAAAATAGTATTTTAAGTTATTAATATTTATTGTAGATAGGCTACATGTATTTTTCTGACTTTCAAATTTTAGTGTTCTACTACTGATCGTTAAGTACATGATTCCTGCTTTGTCCTGAATTTCAACTTTGTCACAACATTTTTCAGTTACTTTTTTTTTCATTTTTTTTTTTTTTGCATTTATCCATAGATTACATAATATAACATATGTAACCCCACTTTTTTTAGACTTAATATTTGTAATAAAATTTTAACAGCAAAGTACTTGGATATTTGTCACAGTATTAATGCCACTTACCAACAGCCAATATACACTATTGATCAGTTGTGTTATAAAGCATTACATGAAAATTTAATATACACTATTTGTAAGTTGCATCATCCAGCAAGAAGTCAAAATCTCATTGGCTATCCAACCTAATCTAACGCTATTTTGATGGAGCTAAGTTAAGTTACAATCTGTAGTTAACGTAGGAACCAGTTGTATTGTGGTTTGCAGTATGAACTGTTCAGGGGAAGAGACCAGCTGTTGGCAGGTGAGACCAGCTGTTGGCAGGTGAGACCAGCTGTTGGCAGGTGAGACCAGCTGTAGGCAGGTGAGACCAGCTGTTGGTAGGTGAGACCAGCTGTTGGCAGGTGCGATCAGCTGTTGGTGGGCAAGACCAGCGTACACTGGCAGCCGTCAGGTCAGGTATGCACGGGGGCTTACATTGCCTTCACTGGACTCTAAATGTATTTTCAAGCAGTTTACAGAAGGCTTCCGTAGATTTAAACACGGGCTGTACAGTAGCTATTTATTCAACGTCAAGTTTAGTGGTTTGCTATTATGGGGACAGCTTTAATTCTTTTATTTTAATAAAGGACACAAAAAGATGTGTAAAATATTTTAGTAAATTATTTATATTTTTTATTTTATCTAATTAAACTGCTCATTAAATTCGATCAATAAATTTTGGCAATATTACCTGGGGAAAATAAGGAATACGTTGATCAACAAAAACATATTTGTCAATTTTCTAACTAAAAGAAGTACAGTCCATAGATTTTTAGGTGTATACTTTTTTCTTTTTTTTATGAAATTTTAAGCATGAAAGTAAAACTAGTGACAAAAAACTGGTAGAAACAATGATCTTTCTAAATTAAAAATTAGAAAACTAGCTGCTCAACAAGCAATTTTGCAGTTAATGTAGCCAAAAAAACAATTCCAGCAAGCCACCACAGTGCTACCATGAATTTTTTAAATTTAAATATCAAAGTTCACGGAATTAAAATTCAATTAGTCACTGAGAATTAGCGGAGATTGAGAAAATGTAGATATTGGTATAAAGCTAAATATTGCTGACTTTTACTCAATTCATTGCTATTCAATTACAGTATAATATATTAGTGTACAGAAATGCTGGTGAATGAAATATTTTCAAAATATTTTGCTTGTTTCAGTTTCATGTAAACATTTAAAAGGGCTTATACAAGTATAATTTTGTAACTTTGGTTTATTATAATGATTGAGCATATTACAGTATGTATGTATGTATGTATGTATGTATGTATGTATGTATATATATATATATATATATATATATATATATATATATATATATATATATATATATATATATATATATATATATATATATATATTTATATTTATATTTATATATACATACACACAGGGTGGTTGTGGATATTCAATGACTTTAATCAAAAAGACACAAGTGCCATAATTCATTCTAGAAGTTAAGCTAGAGTACCACACAGCTGGGAAGGTAAGCTAGAGTACCACACAGCTGGGAAGGTAAGCTAGAGTACCACACGGCTGGGAAGATAAGCTAGAGTACCACACAGCTGGGAAGATAAGCTAGAGTACCACACGGCTGGGAAGGTAAGCTAGAGTACCACACAGCTGGGAAGATAAGCTAGAGTACCACACAGCTGGGAAGGTAAGCTAGAGTACCACACAGCTGGGAAGGTAAGCTAGAGTACCACACAGCTGGGAAGGTAAGCTAGAGTACCACACAGCTGGGAAGATAAGCTAGAGTACCACACGGCTGGGAAGGTAAGCTAGAGTACCACACAGCTGGGAAGATAAGCTAGAGTACCACATGGCTGGGAAGGTAAGCTAGAGTACCACACAGCTGGGAAGATAAGCTAGAGTACCACACAGCTGGGAAGGTAAGCTAGAGTACCACACAGCTGGGAAGGTAAGCTAGAGTACCACACAGCTGGGAAGATAAGCTAGAGTACCACACAGCTGGGAAGGTAAGCTAGAGTACCACACAGCTGGGAAGATAAGCTAGAGTACCACACAGCTGGGAAGGTAAGCTAGAGTACCACACAGCTGGGAAGGTAAGCTAGAGTACCACACAGCTAGGTTTTTTATCAAATTCTGTCCAGGCTAGAACACGATACTGAAGTGAGGCGTTCACTGCAAACACCATGAACATGAGAACCCTCAAGCAATGTAATTTGACAATCTCTTAATTGGGTTAAATATGATTCAACTGCAAGGTTGGCTTGTAAAGAAAAACAATATATGTAAAATTTTACAATCACTAGTCCCCCCATTGACTTATTATTTTAGTGCATTCAATGCAGCTCATATTGGCTCAGTGTTATACAGTACTGCACCATATTTGCAAATCCCAATTTAGTTGATTCTAATGTAATGTCTGTAGCCAGAATTTTTAGAATGCCACAGGTTGTAACAAAACAGTAGCCCGAGAGTCGCAAGGACTGTGACATAATGGGTAATTTCTAAGTACTTAGTGTTTCAAGAGGCTTATTTTGTCTTTGTTGCATATGTGATTATAGACCCCTATTTCAGTAATATGCAAAACTCATAATTGCTGGTCTTCTTTTAGTTTGAGGATATGAATAACCTTAGATAAAGTGAGGATTATGGTAATGTTATAAACCATAAAACTTCTCTCACATGCATGCATGTGTGCACACATGCATGGATGAATACATGAAAAACAAAAACACACACACACAGCCACAGAGACGTTAGAAAGAATTTTTCAGTGTCAGAGTAGTTAATAAATGGAATGCACTAGGAAGTGATGTGGTGAAGGCTGACTCCATACACAGTTTCAAATGTAGATATGATAGAGCCCAGTAGGCTCAGGAATCTGTACACCAGTTGATTGACAGTTGAGAGGCGAGACCAAAGAGCCAAAGCTCAACCCCCGCAAGCACAATTAGGTGAATACACACTCACACTCGCTCAACTATGAGGAGAGGCGGGAGGTGTTAAACATACCAAGTCTAGAAAATAGGAGGAATAGAAGCAATCAGAGAATTAAGAAAATTGACAAAAAGGAATATTTTAAACATGCAACTTCAAGATTAAGAGGTCATTGATTCTAACTAGGGAAACAAAGCTACCAGCAAAAATATAAGAAAGTTTTAATTTTGCAAACAGAGTGGTATACAGTTGGAATACGTTAAGGAAGGTTTTGAAGACCAAAGCTGTCAGTAGTTTCCAGGCATTATATGATAAAGATTACTGGGAAGATGGGACACCACGAGCATAGCTCTCATCCTGTAACTACACTTAGGTAATTACACACACACACACACAGCGCTCGGTGTGTACATGGGGCCTCGTGGCTGAGTGGACAGCGCTCTGGTGACATAGTCCTAAGGGTCTGGGTTCGATCCCCGGCAGAGGCAGAAACAAATGGACAAAGTTTCTTTCACCCCTGATGTCCCTGTTCAGCTAGCAGTAAATAGGTAGCTGGGAGTTAGACAGCTGCTACATGCTGCTTCCTGGGAACATGTGTGTGTGTTAGTGAGAAATATATGTAGTAAGTAGATATAATAGAGGAAAAATAAATTGGCTAGAAAGGCGGGGTCCAAGAGTTAATAGCTCGATTCTGCAGATACAAATAGTAAATACACAATGATGTGATGTAGGGAGACTCTATACACAATTTCAAATTCAGATATGATAGAGCCCAATAGGTTCAGGAATCTGTACACCAGTTGATTGACAGTTGAGAGGCAGGACCAAAGAGCTGAAGCTCAACCCCTGCAAGCACAACTCGGTGAGTACACACACACACATACAAAAACAGAGCCCATACCCCAGCTTCAAATGTAGATATGACCGAGTCCAATACACTCAGAAACCTTTACACAACATTGATCGAAGGTTGAAAGGCAGGACCAGGGAGCAGTAACTCTACTCCCACAAAGAAATTTAAATGAATATTTAGGTAAATACACACACATATACAGTACATATATCACACACACACACACACATTAAATTAAGAATATGTGTGGTTCACTGACTTTCACTGGCAGGTGAATATTTCTTGTGGTCATGGCAGTTCTCCTTTTGAGTAATTTATTTAACATTTCTATTATGTATTAGAAATACGATCTTCAGTTAATTAAAAAAAGAGGATACAGCCTGGTCCGCTTTTGATGATGACCTCTAAAAAATGCTGGAAGGTCTATTTTTGCAGGGTATATTGCTAAGTTATATTATAGGTCGAGATTAAGTGATGCATTTGCGAAAACTGGCATTTTCATATAAAATTGTATGATAACTAATCTTTTAATTTATTTAGCTATTTCTTTCCTATCCATGGTAGGCAATTTAGTTTTCCATTATAGTTTCAATATTTGTATCTTGTCTATTGTAAATAAGAGAAACAAAAAATACAAAAAACACTAATGATATCT